AAAGAAATCCTGCCGGAGCAAGCAAGGGTTCGGATTCTCTAGCAACTCTCAAATTAGTTAAAGGACCGCTCCCTCAGAAAAGAAAAAGAGGTAAGTACGATTTCTGTGGAGTATGAAATGAGCATTAGTAGTAGCTATGGTACTGATTGTCGTGCCCCGAGCTGGGGAGTATCAGGTAGAAGTTTGCTAGAAATGCCAACGTTTCTCTCCAGGTGATTTGTCTATGTGCTAAAATTTGAGAAGCACCATTCTAGATGGCAGATGAAAATCAAGAAATAGGAAAAACTGTAAGATACCTCAAAAGCCCACTACCAAAGGCTCATATTTCATTTGTAAAGTGCTTCCAACAGTCACTCACTCATTTACACTCCATTCTAAGCAATGGTGACTCAGTTTCTAAGCTATCCTTGGACAAATAAGGGTGGCAGAAGAGGGTCTTCTAAAACCAGGCTCACCAGTAGCAGCAGGAAGTGATAACCAGTAGTTTGAACGTGTATAAAGAGGGAATTAAATGCCTGAACTCTCCAAACCTAAAGCAGTCTGGGGCAAAATTTCCCATCCGTTATGTGTATCAGAGTTTTTAAAAATAGTCACCTGGATCCTGCCGTAGACCTGTTCAAACAATGTCCAGTGGCCTAGAGACCTGTATATTGAAATGATTCTACAAATGGCTTTGTTGCCTCCTGTAAATTAAATGAGAATCAGTCTGGAGCCACTTAGTGTATAGGCAAATGTGCTGTGGCAAACAGAGCACAGCAAACCACGTGATTTTGGCCTACTGTCACCTTAGTTGTGTGTATTGTACTTTGCTTAAAGGTAGGGAACCATATGCTCCATGACCCTTTACAGAAGGGGTCAACCAACTGTGGCCAAAGGGTCCCTCAAGCATTTACCAGTTGTCTCTGGCTGCTTCACACCTTGCTGGCAGAGGTGAGCAGCTGTGACTGAGATCATGTGACCTTCAAAGCTGAAAATATGTCCTAGCAGCCTGTCCCAGAAAAGGTTTGCTAACTGTATGTGTAATATTTTGAATTTAGAAATGTTGATGCCTAAAGAAAACATCAGGGATATGCAGATCCTCAGGATTGTAGATAATTAAGGCTTTACCCTGTGGCTTAACAGATAGTTATTTCTGGCTTATTATAGTTGGAGATGGGGTGAGTATGTGCGCATACACACGCGTGTGGGAAGGATGGAAAGTGTGGCAGTATAAAGTGGTAAACCAGACTGTACAGCTACTTACAAATACGTTCCAGGCCAAGCATGTTGGGTTTCTTCTGTATATGAACCAGTTTACTTCAAGCTGTTGAATAATCTATAATTCAGGATACATGTTGTCACTGTTTCTCAAATTTCCACTTTAAGAAATATTTTATGTTATATAGTCAGTCCAGTGCATGCAAATATATACATGACTGAAACAAAAATTTCAAAAAACATTTACCCTAACTATGCCTAGTACAATCTAGTATTTTCTATCCTGCTTCATTTAAGAAAGGATTCTGGTTACAACTCATTAAATTTATTTTACAGTCCACCAGTGAATTGTGCCTACAACTTTAACATGGCATTGAGTGATGCAGATGATCCCTGAAGGATCACCTTCTTCTGTGTTTCTGTTTCCCTCCCAGGACCTGGGTTGTGTGCAGTCTTCCTGCCTGCCTATGCAGCTGCTAGGAGCCTCCCCTAGCTCTTGATCCTCTCGTCTTATTCTCTTTCTCTTCTCAATTTAGTCTGAACTTTTCCTGCTTGATTTATATTTTGCCTTTTTTGTGCTAAAAATTTTAGAAAATAGCTGGAGTAGAATGAGAAGTCATAAATAGGAAGGAAAATAATTAGACCCAGGGAAGTGTACCACATAAAGAGATGCAAGAGCTTTTTTTAAAAAAAAAAACAAAACAAAAAAAAACACCTTTCTCAAACTCCCAAAAGAATGAAATTAAATTGGTCTGTTTTCTACATTTCACTAGTAGTCATCACAATTTATTAAACTACTATCGTGTTTCCTTTTCTCAATTAGAAATACAGTTGATCCTTGAACAACGCAGGCAATCAGGGGCGCCAACCAACCCCCCACACAGTGGAAAAATCTCTATAGCTTTTGTCTCCACAAACTTCACTCCTGGTAACCTCCTATTGACCAGGAGCTTACTGATAGTACAAATCACTGATTGACACGTACTCTGTATGTTTTACATATTATATACTGTATTCTTACAATTATGTAAGCTGGAGAAAAGAAAGTGCTATAAGAAGATCATAAGGGGCGGAGGCCCCTGGGTGGCTCAGTCGGTTAATCATCCAACTCTTGATTTCAGCTCAGGTCATTGTCTCAGGGTCGTGAGATCAAGCCCCACTCAGTGGGGAGTCTGCTGGAGATTCTCTCTCTCCTTCCTCTGCCCCCTCCCCCCCCCCAGCTCTCTCTCACTTGTGCTCTCTCTCTCTCAAAATCTTAAAAAAAATCATAAGGGGGAGCGCCTGGATGGTGCAGTCAGTTAAGTGTCTGACTCTTGATTTCAGCTCAGATCATGATCTCAGGGTTGTGGGATTGAACCCCACGTTGGGCTCTGCACTTAGTGCGGAGTCTGCTTAAGACTCTCTCCCTTTCCCTCTGCCCCCCATCCCCCCCCCTCGAGCGTGCACATGCGTGCGCACTCTCCCAAAGAATAAATCTTTAAAAAGAAAATCAAAAGGAAGATAATACATTTATAGTAGTGTACTTAGATTTATTAAAAAGAAATCCATTCAAACGTTGTTCAAGGGTCAACTGTAGTGTTTTCTCTATAACGTAATTTTATAATATTTGCCAACACTCGTGTGATATTTTTATTGATATCTTTGGGACTAAATTTTTTGGTGGGAACAGCTGAAAGTAAAAGTTTTCAAAGGGAACATTTATTAACTTTTTTTTTAACTCTTAAAAGGTTGAAACACTTTCTATTAATTTAGCAGGGTAGTCGTGAGGTTTTTTTCTACATACTTGCCTCCTAGCTGTTCCCTTCCATGTGAGAAGCAAAGCTGAGCACTTTGTAAGAGAGATGAAAGCTGAGCACTTTGTACGAGACTTGTAGAAAGTTAAATCAGTGAAGGCTTCTTCAGCAGACCTTCCTCTGTCTGCTCTGTAAAGATGATTTTTTCAGTGGTATTAAGACTTGTATATTTAGGAATAGTCAAGTGAAATCAGAAGATGGATCTTTATGAATATACAGTCTCTTTTCTGCAGTGCGATTACAGTTTTATCTAATGACTTCATGGGAGCTGTGTTGCTTTTCTGTAAATTAAATTCTCCATTCCCCAGTGCTGTGAACTACCATCTTCAGCCTTCACCTGCCTCATCAGTCAGGAAAGATTATGGAGAATTTTTTTTTTCTTTAGTTAAGTCATGCCTTGTTTTTACAAAGTTATTACTCTGACATTCTTCTTCACCTGACAGGCTATATCCAATGCTTAGAAAGATCATGTTTTTATATTTATCTGAGACCTTTTAACTCATGCTTTGTTAAAAAAAAATCTTTTAATGAAATACCCCAAATTTTATATTTTCTTCCCTATTGTTAAAGTTACCCCTCCCCCCAAAAAACAAAAGAAGTCAAAGGAGAAGCTATTGCTGATAAATATTTGAGCCCCCTACCGCTTAAAAAACGGTGTGTTTTCTACATAAGGTGCTGACGTGCGGGCTGCACAGTTTGTACAGACAACCAAATTGGATAGGAAAAAACAAGAAGCTCCCATTTCTAAAGATGCTCCAGTGGCAACGAATACTAAAAGGGCAAGGAAACAAGAGAAATCTCCAGTCAAAACTGTTCCAAGGGCTAAGCCACCCGTGAAGAAATCTCCACAAAAGCAGAGGGTAAATCTAGTAAAAGGCAATCAGAATCCCAGAATCAGAAAGCAGCCACAACCTGGTAAGAAACACTCTTCCTGTCGATTTAAACACCGCAATGCAGACTAATTGAGATTGCAAGATAGTATATTGAAATAATCTAAGAACAGCTGAAATTTAGCAACAGTTCCTGCTATTTCCTTGAGTTCAAACACTAACAGGACTAAGTAGGTGGGTTTCCTGTTGTAAATAAATCTGTTAAGTGCAGGTTCAGACCTTCACAAAATAGACCCTACTTTTTAGTTTGCAGAAAGACTGAACGTGAATGGTCTACAAGAGTGTCAGTGTAGAGAGGCTTCCTTATAAATAAATGCACACAGAAAGTATCTGGCAATATTTTTCTGGGCCGTAATCAGTTAAGAAAGTAGAAGGTTAGAAGTTTATTTGTCCAAAGGGAGTTAGAAAGAGATCACTGAAGACACTCAGTAGTCCAGAACCCTGTGTTTGGTTTTAGAAAGCATTAGATTAATTTTAAAAGCGGTTTTACTTTCCTAGTTTTGCTTCAGTGAATAATAAAGTTTAGTTATATGAACAAATGCCCAACTGCTCTAGTTCTGTATTTTCAACTGCTAGACAGAAAGCCCCACCATCCCCACAGACTTCACCTCCCAAGCGGAGCTCACATCGCGTCCTCGTCCTGTCTCACCTTGCGTCCGTGTGTGTGTGTATGTGTGTGTGTGTGTGTATGTGTATGTGTTGCACTTCTTCCAGCCTGTGGAGTCTCGGACTTCTCCATCTTCCGTATTGAGGCCTGTGGGGTTGCATGTGTGTTGTTTTTCTTGTTAACAAAGATGTAATGTCCTCATACTTTGTATTCTTACAGTTTTGGGGTTGTTTTTTTTTGTATTCTTACAGTTTTCTGTCTAATCTCCCTGATTCTGCTTTCTCCCTCACCTATTTTTAGATTTTTAAAAAACCTCATGGTTAGTGGGAATTCAGAAAATATTGTTTTATTGGGCTGATGGTATTATGGGTAAGAGTGGTTTTTTCTAAGTTTCTTTAATATTGTTTTATAATAGAAGGGTTTTTTTTGTGTTTTGTTTTCAGTGAGTGACAATTTTTTAAGAGCTCATGTGATTCGAAAACCCAGTGTTGCAGTTTTGAGACACATACATACCAAATGCAAACTCTGCTGGTCTCTTGGGCGGTTCCTAAGGAGGCCTTACTCCACACCTCCTTGTTTCCCTCCTGCTGTTTCTCGTTCAGCGTGTCTGTCCTGCCACGTACTCTGTGCTTCCCCACACGTCACCCCGATTTCTGCTCTTGTGCACTTCCCCTCCACCACATTCTGCACAGCTAGTCCTGCCTCCACCGTGAGGCGTTGCCCGATGCTCTGATCTTCACTCAGCTCTCTGTTTCTTTCATTTCCTTCTGGGTTTTTGAGAACACCGTAGAATCAAATTCGTACCCTTCTCTTATCATTTGATTTGTCTTGGTCCTGTCTTTCCAATGAATTTGTAAACATGAGCATAGATACACATATAAATGCCTTGTGTGCTGAGCTGTGTCATTTGAATTATTTGTACTGAATTGGTACAAATATTTGTAGATATTTGTAGACTAATGGATTAATGGGAAGAATGCAGTTGGGTATTGGCAGAAAAGTGCGCCCAGAAAATGAAAAGTTTTTAAAATATGTATTCAGAAATAGGCTGATTTGTATTGTAAATGTCTGTATATATTGTGCAGCCACATTCCAAGTTAAAATTTTAAGCTTGCTACCTTTTAAATAATCTCTTAATTTTTCTTTTATTTCTTAGTCACCTATACTAATCTGTTTCATTTCTTATAAAGTATAAGAATTTAGGAAGGCTCATTTTTGTTACTGAAACTAGTGCTTTTCTGCCCTTTTTAAAGTTTTCAATATAGCTTTTACTTATTGAACTCTATATTTTACATATATTTTATTTGGTGTTGTCTTATTTGTATTTTTTAAAAGAGATGATCAGTATTCTATTTTTAACTGATTGAGAACTTCTAACAAATCAGTAATTAAATGATTTAACTGAGACACATAATCTGTTAAAGCCTTTTTCTTCAGTGCAGTGTTCTTTATATTAGGCTTTACTTACAAGTGATACCCTGTGTAAGAGCCGTAATATTAATGACAATGGAATGAAATTAGTGTGAATAAACACATCAGAGATCATGTTTCCAGTAGATCTGTGGGGCTGATGACGTATCTCTGCTTCGGGTCACTTCACCCACCTAATCCCTTTGGGTTTTGCTATTGATTACTCTTATCCTTCCCAACACACACACACACACACACACACACACACACACCCCTAATCCCCTTGGGTTTTGCTATTTTAAATAAAAAGTGGACAGTGGTTGATTACTCTTATCCTTCCCAACACACACACACACACACACACACACACGTTCTCATTCTGTTTGATGACCTCACAGGCCAGGGTTTTCTCCTTAAATGGATTCGTAGTCATTGGCCTTTGCAGGAAGGTTAATAATTCATTTCAGACCTGCTGCTGCTGTTATAAAGAACACAGTTGGCTTTTCTGTGCATGCACTTGCTGCAGGAAATTGTTGCCTAGTACTGTTGTGAACTCTGTCCTTCATGATAGCCGCATCTAAGTAGGCCAAACTAACATCCTGAGAATGGAAGTAGGCGACTGTAGAAGGTCGCTTTCTGCTTAAGACATATGGTGGATTGGATCATCTACAGAAAGGAGAATTATCGGTAGACAAGGAGATTTGCTATTTGCAGACAGAGTAGAGAGGAAATGTTTTCAGTACAGAACTTAAAGTTTTAGAAGATGATGAAATTGGTGATTCTGAATGAATAATCTTATGACTCTTCTGATTTTTTTATTTGTATCATTACATATTCTAATGAAACATCAGTAGGGTTAAAAGTCATGTCTAGTTTGAACTTAGGTGATTTCTCTAACAAAGCACTTGTTAAGGGACATGCTTTCTAAAAGTGTGTTAACATACTATAATATACACTTCAAACTTAGAAATTCTTATGTTCTCACTAGATTGTAAGCTCTCTGAGGGCAGGACTCCTGTTTTTTATTCTTGTTTTTCTTTCCCTCTTTGTATATTTCTTTAGCTGATCAGTATCCCTTGTGTGTAGTTCGGTACGTGCCTTTTGAAAGGTGATTTCTTTTTAAATCAATATGCACACTCCTTAAGATTTGTTCCCATGGTAAATACATTATATTAGAACTGGCAGTTGGAAGAAACCTGATAGTAAAATTTCAACCTATAATCTATGTAACCTATCCAGAGGTTCTTCTTGAGTATATTGACTTAATCATTGATTTTCACTAAGCCATAGTAGTAATATAGCAGAGAATTAAAATATATGGAAATCAAATGTTACATGTCTTTTTCTTCTATACTGAAGCAAAAGGAGAAACTGGTTCACAACTTCCATCAGAAATCTCATCAGTTGGTCAAGAGGATGTTATTAGCATAAATGCAACTCAGACAGAAGATATCTCGGTGGCTCAAAAAGATCTGCCTGAAAACTCCATTGTCAACTGTGACTCCCAAGCCCTCAATATGCTAGCTGACCTAGCATTAAGTGCTGCTACTTCTACCACATCACCATCTGAGCCCAGGAGCTTTCCCTGCGCCTCTGAATCACCACAGAATGATGTTTTGCTTTCTAAAGAACATTCTGTGTGCGGTACATCTGACCATGAGTATCACAGAGGAGTTAAAAATCAAAAAGGTGGACTGTTACCTAAGCCCTCCTCTGAGAAGAAGAGTAGTCCGGCACCCGATTCCCCCGTCAGCCAAGAGGAGGAGAGCGTGGCTCCTGGCAGTCCGGCCCCCGTGGAAGCCGCATCAGCCCTTTCTGAGGAAACGCTAGAAAGTAATGATGCAAGCCAAAGCTCTTTTGTTGCCGTGGAACATTCCTATGCCCTGCTCCTTGCGGAACATTCAAAGCAGCACCTACAGCAGAGAGGAACCTCCAGCCCTGCCTTCGCCAAGAATGGCCCCAAAGGCCCTGAGGCGGGGACCCCGGTGGGGAAAGTAATGCCATTCCGGCACCAGCAGAGCGCGTCCCCGCTGCAGAAGCTGTCCGGGGCCCTGGTGCTCAAGCGCAGGAGCAGATTGCTGTCCTCCAGCCTGAAGGACTTTCACTGCTCTCACACTGTGTTCAGCTGTGACGGCTCCGTTAAGGTCACTTTCACATGTGACACGGAGTATGCGTTCAGCTTGGACAGCAAGTATACCAACAACCCGCTGGAGAAAACTGTAATCCGAGCACTACATGGGTAAGTAGGAGTGACACTCCATGAAAACGGACGTGACTTTTGTGTTGAGATAAATGCAGTGGGAAGGAATCCTTGTGCCAGACTTTGGGCAAAGAGAAGTCCTGTGTGTGCATCCGATAACTTAGTAATAATATCAGGCAGTCGTGTTTACTGACCACTAAGAAAATGAGGCTGGTTTTGCCCCTGTCATGGTCACATGGAGACCTTTTGCAAGCTGACTTTAACCCTGTGAATGGCTTTCCATTTTGAGATGCTCCTACATAAGCCTTTGTGGTCTTTGAATTACAATATTTAAATGAGATCTTAATGTAAAATCGTGAGATAGAGAAATAATGCTTTACAGCCTAAATTCCGGAAGAAACATTTCAAGAATTACTTCTAGCTTGTTAAGCTGGTCAGATTGTTCTGCGTGAGGAGGTTTACATGGGGTTGTTCTGTAAATCTTTAAGGGGCCAAGGCAGTCACAGCAGAGGGACTGAAGGCACAGGCTTTGGAGTATGGGCTGACCCAGGTTTTTAACGTAGGTTCTCCCACTTAACTAGCTTCTGTGACCTGGAAGAGGTTCCTGTTCTACTGGGGTAGTGCTTCTCGATCTTTACTCTCTGACAGCTTATTTAGAGATCTCATTCAAGTGCAGATTGTGATTCAAGTCTGTTTGGGACGGGCCTCTGGGCCTCCGAGTCTACATTTCTAACAGATTTCCAGGTGAAGCCAGTGGAGGGTGGCAGTCTGTAGGGACCCCTTCGAAGGATGGGTTAGTAATAGCTACAAGTGAGGTTGCTGTGTACTGGAGGGTTTTGTGCAGTGACTGGCACATACTGGTAAGTGGTAACCATTACTATTCCCAACGAGCGCTCGCTGAAGGGAATGGCACTCAGCTACCTCTTCGTGGAGTGTTTCACCTAGGAGTGGCTCAATTGTGTCAGACTTCTCTCCGTGCTCCGGTTACAAGCTTGCACTCATGGGAGCATCGACTTAACATTTGCATCTACTCAGGACGGTCATTTCCATAGCCTTCATCCTGCTTACCTGAAGCCCAGCTCTGCAGCCCCTCTGACTCTTCTCACTGCCACTCTCTGCTTTACTTTTGCCGGGCAAATGGCCAGAAATGTTTTCTCCCTGTGTGGTTTCAGGAGATTTGCCAGGACTGTAATCTGAAAATAGTGTTCTGCTGAATTGCCCACAGAGATATTTTAATCTTCAGACTTTCCCAACTATTAGAAGAAACACACAAAAACAGAAAAGAAATGAGTTGGCCAGACTTGGCAAAAATGAGGATTTGGGTGGTTGCTGGAGCCATTATTCACATAATAGGTATATTGTGTCCAGAGAGAGTTGGAGTGGAGTAAAAGAAAAATCCTAGACCAGGAGCCTGGAGACCTCTGTTCGAGTCGTGGCTCTACCGCGTAAAGGTTTTGTGATCTAAAAGAAGTTAGTTTTCAAAGCTCTGATTTTCAGTTCCCTCTTCTGCCTCTGTTAAGTGAGGGGATTAGATTCATTGTCATTATTTGTTACATTAACTTCATTTTTATCTTATTCATTGTTTCAAGTTTGTATATTTTTAATACAAAAATGAACACATTTAAAACTAAGAATCACCAATTTCAGTGATTTTTTTGCATGTTTTTTTCCTTAAAATCTCAGGCCCTGGAACACTGACTTACCTGATAACGTGGAAGAAGTGAAGCTTTTACTTCATATGTGGGTAGCTCTGTTTTACAGCAAGCAGAACAAAGTCATACGGTCATCCCGAAAAGTGGTAGAACACAGCAACCCAGCAAAATATGTGTCTATAAATAGCACATTAGAATCTTTTGAATTCAGTGAAATTGAGGAGTCCTCCAGTGTGGAAAGATATTCTGTAGACCCTCTTTTGGAGACCAATGAAACTCCCACAGGTCATGCTGCCGACGTGTCCTTCCCTGACACTAACGCCTTGCTTCCCTTCATGAAACCACCACACACGGGAGGCTTGGAATTCTGGGTACAGAATGAACAGAAAGAAATTTGTGCAGGAGAGGGTCATCCAGATACCCCAGAAAGCCAGAATTTGATTTATTCTTGTAATAATGAGGTAAGTAAAGCTGAATACTATATGTGCTGACATTTTTGAAGAAATTTCTTTTTTTTTTTTCTTGATATGTAAAATCACATTCAAAACATGTCATTGGTTTCTTTTAGGAAGGTGGATTCTCTGTGTAAAGGATTAATATCAAAACTTAGTTTCCGTAAATGTCGCTCTGGATTGTCTGCAGGTGGAGCTTTTCTCCATCCTGATTGAAGACGCAGAAGTAGAAACAAACCATGGGGGTCAAATGGGCCTGGGGACCAGCCATAATGGTGTCACTTATCAGTTGTATAATTTGGGGCAAATTACTTGTTCTCTCTGAGCATGCTCTCTTATCTTTTAAAAGAGGTAAATAATATCTGTTCTTAGAATAGGTTTTTTATTTTATTCGAGAGCAAGAGAGCAGGAGCAGAGTGGGAGAGTGGGGGGGTGCAGAGAGAGAGGGAGAAGCAGGCTCCCCACTGAGCAGGGAGCTCGATGCGGGGCTCGATCCCAGGACCCTGAGATCATGACCTGAGCTGAAGGCAGACGCTTCACCGACTGAGCCACCCAGATGCCCTAGAATAGTTTTTAAGGATCATATGCAGCAATAAATATTATAAGTCTTTGGTAAACCTTAAACTGAAATTGAATATGTTAAAAATTATTAGAATAGTAAGTACAATGCTAGACTCTACTGGTAACTATTTGTAAATATGGAAAATACACTTTGTTTCTTTCCATTGTTCTCAACTAATGTTCAGCAAGACCAGATAATCACATTTTAACTGGAGCAAATAAAAAAGTTATATCAAAAGTCTATAAGTAAATGGATTGACAAAATATGTGCCTCTTTAAGGTTTCAGCATTGGTCTCTTCCAGGATACTTTTGCATGGGTTTGGGCACCTGCAGTGCGCGTCTTAACATTGAATAGACAGCGTTTCTATACCTGGGGTTACGTGGGGATTTGCAGGTCTAGGGACAAACCTCAGAGAGCCTGTGTCTCCAGATGCTCATCTTTATCAAAATGAAACTGATGGTGTGCTGTGGACTAGACAGTGGTTTGCGCCCTTTGCTCACATTAGCTCAGGCTCACACAGCCTCGTGAATAAGGACCACTCCCCCCATCTTATAGATGAGGAGACTAAGTCTGCTTCTCTCTCTCCCTCTGCCCCTTCCCCTGCTTGTGCTCTCTCTCTGAAATAAATAAACAAATAGATCTTTCTTTAAAAAAAGAATCTCTACCTTAGAATAAGAAAATATAGTTTAGGGGCGCCTGGGTGGCTCAGTTGGTTAAGCGACTGCCTTTGGCTCAGGTCATGATCCTGGAGTCCTGGGATCAAGTCCCGCATCAGGCTCCCTGCTCAGTGGGGAGTCTGCTTCTCCCTCTGACCCTCCTCCCTCTCATGCTCTCTGTCTCTCATGCTCTCTCTCTCAAAAAATTAAATCTTTAAAAAATTTAAAAAAAAATAAAAAATCTAGAAGACTTTGATTACTACCTGATAAAGTATTTTTTGTTGTTTTAATCTGTAATCACCATCATCATTACTAATTCTAGGAATGGTGTTTTTGCAAATGTGAAATAGTATTAAGAAATAAGAGTATTAAAATTAATTTCTATAGCATATACTTAAGTTTTTTTCCATCATCTCCTTGGCTACCATGCCCATACTTTAAAGGCGTGCGCACATGCGCTATCCCCTGCCGTCTTCCCCACGTGGGCAAACTAGATGTGAAGAGAACTCCAGCACCATAGGCATTAGAAACCATTGGCATGTTACTCTGAGTCATGTGTTTAAATGTGTGGGTTAATGAACTAAATAAGAAAAAAATAAAAAGTTCTTTTTAAGTATCAGACTTTATGTTAAACATATTACACTTCGCCAGTAGTAAAAAATATCTATCAATATAAACATAGGAAGTTGATGACAATTTGCATTTCACGAAGTCCACAGGCCTGGTGAGATTAGCAGCCACAGCATGATTGAAGGGTCACAGGACAGTTTTCAGAATGACTCTTACCATCAAGACTTTTCTATCCTTTGTGTCTGGCCAGTCATGTCCTCTTAAAACTCTGAGTCTCCACCCTACCCTGCCATTTATGTGGGTCAGTGTCTTTCTTTGTTTAAGACAGAAGTCTTTTTAACAGATTTGAAACCCAGGTCCTGACTTTGAGTATGATCGCCTCAAGACGTGGCAGGAAATCTGTGACCATAATGTTCCAAATATTATAGGTGTATGGTCAGTGATGATCAGTCCATTTTACCATATTCTGGACAAGACCATGCTTCAGCCTTAAAACAGCCTGTTTATGAGGTCATCAGAATGTCCAGAGGTATTCCGCTAGTGTTTAACCTATATCCTTCCTGCTTTAAAGCGATCCTTTTGGTTCAGTTTGTTAATGCAAACTGCACTGTGTTTTCTGTTGTTCTGTTGAATAGGAGTATTGTAATGAGTTACAAGCAAAGAAGATAGCTAAGGGGTAAGGGATCTTTATTTACCAGAATGGAGATTGACACCCTCGAAAAACTGCTCATCAGTCATACTACAAGAGATCATAATTTACTCTTTCCTCATGGGAGAGTTCCAGATGACAGTGTATTTGTGGTTTGATCGAAAGCTGGTGTTTAAAATAAGTTATTCTTTGCTTTAAAAAACTATCTTTTAATCTTACTGAAAAACACTTAAAACTGAGTCCTTTTTTCTCTAGTACTGCATTTCTGCATTAGGTGATGCTAGTTAGCAAACAGGCTGCATTTTCAGGTCTTTGCATTGTCACTGGTCCAGCCACTTTTCTTCCCAAAAGTCAATTAAAAAAAAAAAAAAAAGACTGTGCAGTTAAAGGTTTGAAGCTCTCATTTGTGTGTAGAAAAATTCCTAGTTTGGGCTGTTGTAAGTCTGCCTAAAAAGAGAGGGATTTGCTTGATTTCTACCCTGTGATATTCTTAAAGATTAAAAGATTCAAAAGAACAAACTGACATTGATTCTTGTCCACTCTGTTCTTCACCATAAGTGATGTGAAAAAAGAGTCTATTTGACTCTTGATTTTTCTTTTTGTCATTTCAGATAATGGGGGGTAAAGCCAAACAAGACCCATCAGATAAACTAGAGACTTATAATCTTGGAAGTACCCAAACTAATGGACCTTCTATTCCCGGTGAAGATAAAACCTTTGAGCCACTTGATAGCACAAGAGTGACTTACAGTGATCCTGTCACACAAACCACATTCAGCAAGACTTATGATGGGCTCAGCGATCAGTCGGTGACTTGTCAGAAGTCTGTGTACAGCACCCTGGAAAGCAAAGTTGATATTTTTCATGCAGCAGTGCAAGCAAAAACCAGTGCTTTACAGGGCCTCATCCAGCAGAGCAGCCCCATGAGCAAAGAATGTCAGCCTTCATTGGAGAGTAAGGATGATACAGAGTATGTGATGATTAATCTGGAACCAGTTACGTTCACTTTTGAAAAAAACACCTATGTACCAATACAGACAGAAGTTGCAAATAGAAGCGATGAACCTACAACCTTTAATACGGAGTTGATTAAGCAAGTGTCACCTGCTCCGAGTCTTAGACATCCTGTGTCATTTGAAAAGGCACAAACACAAGGCCTTAGGGATGTTCCCTCTCCAGCAATGTCCAAACAAAAAGGCACTAAGTACCTTTGTGCCTCCTCAGTAAGTAGAGAGACACTTGCAACAGAAATGTGTTCATGTGCACTACAGAAAGAGATTCCTGCTCCAGGCTTATCACCACCATCTGAAAATTCGAGGGTAGCCGAGGCGTTGTCATTAGTTAAAAGTTCTAATCATTCGTCACCCAGGGAAGAAATGAAACTCTCTCAAGAATTTTTCCTGCAGACTCAGAGTCTCTTTGGCATATCTTCGGAAGAAATTGTAGAGCCGTCCCAGGTTGAAGAAGTGGTCTCGGCATCTGCCTCCGCCACTTTGGGAAGAACTACCTCTCGTAACTGCATTCCGCCAACGGGCGATACGGCAGGTAGCTCCTCGGAACCAGTGAGTGACAGGAGTGCTCTAAAGAGTGAAAATAGGAATTTTGAACCCTTTGATTCAGCTTTTACCAAGCAAACCAGCCTCTCTGTGAGTAGAGAGGAGACCAGCCTGGAGTTCTCTGAGGATGATTCTGACATTGACCTCACTCTCACAATATCGCCACCCACCAGCCCCAGAGAAGAGATGCCCGCGGGGGGACTAGAGCTGAGGCAGGAGGCCCCCGTGTCGAATCTGGAACTTCAGGACACAACTGAAGAGGTAATCGGGCCAGAAGAGGTGACTCTCCTAGAAAACCCCGAAGTGGATTCTGCTGTTTTTACATCCGTGTTCCCTACAGTGCCGGAGAAATCGTTAGAAAGTAAGGAGAGAAAAGGTGATAATTTACAAACAGTTACC